CCAGTCCCAAGAAACTAACTAAAAAACTGACTCTTTTTAGAGCTGCTTACAAAGAGGCTGTTTGGTGGGACATGACAGCTATTAGAGGTTGATGTATTACAGATATTTTGCTGAATGGTCGTGTGGAGTATTCGGTGAAAATGCTCGGATTCACTGAGGTAACAGAGCCAAAAGGAACGCATGTCATCCGAGACGCTATCCACGCCATACGTTTTCAGCTTCAGGTACCATATTGCTGTACAGTTTCAGCCACAAAATACTATTATTGTTTATTCATTTTCAGTTGCAGGTGCCACTACTGATCATTTTTTGCTGCAGGTACCACTTTTGTTTATTTTTATCCTTTTCCTAAGTTTTTCCCCTTTTTCTGTTTTGGTTTTGCATAAAAGAGTTGGGGGCTTGATGGAGTAATAATAATTGGCGCCTGCTGCCAGGGTAAAAGTACTGAATCGAATCCGGAAATCTGAAACTGGAGAAATCAGTCTCAGTACGATTTATGCGATCGTTGTGATGACCAATAGTGCGCCTAGCATGCTGTGGATCAGAACCCTTCGGCTTGCTTCTTTTGCATCTCCTGAAAAAAAACCATAGAAGGTCATTTTCGCAGTGTGTAGCCTCAAATACAGTTTCTTACCTCATCATATTCACTCGATGCTAAATACTTTTGTTTGGGCAATTATTTATAGTCTGCTTTCCAAGCTATGTAAGCTGACAACTTTTCCAGTTACTTTGACCAGTGTTGCATTGCCTGATGATGGTCACTCAGCCTGCTGGAGATCCTGACGTTTGTTTCATTCAATGCAACAATGTATGGCATCTAAAAACCATGCCATATGTACTGTGTTCAGAATCGCATGCCATTTTTACAACGGCTTTTGAGGTTTTATGAATTTTGCGCATTTGAAGTGTTTTTCACGGTTGCAGGTGAACCGAGGCATTACTGGACATTCAGGATCGAAACTGAAAAAAGTGGATTTACAAATTAGCGTGGATGGTCTAACAATTATTGACTCAAAGACAAAGATGATTCTCTTCAAATATCCGTTGCATCGAATCTCATTTTGTGCTGATGATAAACAAGTTGGCATTTTTTTTTTACTTTTTGATTACGCTCCTCATTGTATTTAATGATAAATGAGAGAGACTCTATACAGAGGAGAATGGAGTACTTGCCAGCTGCTTCAATGGCAACAAGAAATGTGGCGACGAATCTGCCAGTAGTTGAAGTAAACGTGGGTTTAGTATCAAATGATAAGTTACTTATTAGTTTGCATGTTTCATAGAGTTATGGAAAAGGTTCTAACTATAAAAAAAAGTAATGATTAAAAGCAAAAATTGAATTGGAATGTTCCGGTCCATTAAGTCGCATACAGGTTTAAGCCGAATTATAAACACTTTTCAAACAGTGGTTATATTAGCTAATGTGTTTGGCTTGGCTAAAAAACAGTGCAAGTATTGGAGAAGTTATGGTTATTATCTAGTGTTCTTTTCCAAAATGAAGAAAAAAAAAGCAAGGAAACGGGCTTTAGCTTCACTATTACCACTAGGTGAAAAAAGCTTCGTTCATTCTAACGATAGAAATGAAGCCAGTTTTGCAAGTGAAAGCAAAATACAATGAAATAACAGCTAGGGCTGCCAAAATAACGGGGGTGTTGAGCAAAAAATCGGATGGAAATCGATAAAAAAGGTTGAAATTTTTGGAGGGTCCCTAAAACTCGACTTGATAGGATTGGAAAGCGATTTGGGTTTATACGAGCTGTAGTGCTAAACAAGAAATTAGATGCTGAGTGAAAGCTATTAAGTTTGTGTTTTCACTCCGGAATCTCACTTAGCAGAAAAACCCAATCCTTACGTATGTTTATGATTTTCGTATTTGTCATTCAAACTCACAAACGAGTGCATTTCTCCTAGAATGAGTGCATTTAGCGCGGCCATGCTGAGCCGAGCCAAGTTTTAGTAATTATCGTTTCTTGGCCTACTCCGTCATGAGGCAAGAACTGATGTTGAATTTTCAGTAGTTGTCTGTAACGGATCAGTTTTGCAGGATAAAAGAGTTTTTTCATTCATTGCAAAAGCAGAATCTTCCAGTCGGCATGATTGTTTCGTGTTTTTGAGTGAAAAACTCGCCGAACAAATAACTCTGGCCGTTGGCGAAGCATTTGATCTTGCTTATCAGGTGCGCAGTTTTCTAGGTTTTTGTTAAGCAACCAAATATCTGTTTACCTGGACGTAAGAAGTGAGGGAGGAAAGAGCGCTTGTTCTTCAGGATGGGAGAATTCTACGTTTGGTTGGGAGGAGGGGGAGAGGGAAGGGGAGGGAAAACCGAATTTTTGTTTCCATGTGGAGTATCGAGCACTGAGCGAGGAAAAAAGCGTTGTCTTTCCATAATTTCATTGTGAGAGAGGAGAGATTGCAGAAACCGTGTCTTATGCTTTGGCTGTAAACTCAGGCAGAGCTGAGGTATGGACAAAAGCGGGAATCATCAGTGCTGCCTTTAGCGGAGGCATTTGAGAAATCAGATCGTCGGGCCCAAAAACACTTTAGGTGAAGCACGAAAGTTGGTATGCTGTTTTAAGAATAGGCATACGAAATTTGACCAGATGAATGGAAAGTGGAGAGTAAGGCATGTTTTTTTTGGCCAAAAATACATTAGACGGGCGACTTTTATTTCTTGACGATATTTATTACATTTTTTTCAACTGCAGTTTTTTTTAGAAATTTCTAGAAAAAAATGGACGAGATTTGGAAAATCGCAAGCAGCTCATCGTTTTGAGGAAGCGAATAGTAGAACTTGAGCATGAAAATAATGAGCTGAAAGAGAAATTGGCACGCGCATTAAGAAGCCAGGTTTGTATTCTTTTCTTTTTCGATGTTTTTTATTTTTTAATAATTTTCCGGAAAAATTTCAGATCCACAAGAAATAATCACAGAAAGGGAAGAGGGTTGACCGGATTCAAGTTCTTGTATCCATAAACCTTGCACTTTATGCTCTGTATGTGAAAAAAAAATGTTCATTTCATTTTCTGAAAGAATTATTAATTCAGCTTACTAACACAGAAATTACTAACTATATCCTTACGTTCATTTCAACTTCTGGAGGAATTACCAACTCAACCTTCCGATGAAAGCATTTCGCAAAGCTTTGGCCGTTTCGAAATGTTACTTGTGTGTGTATGTGTGTGCGCATGTGTGTGCATGTGTGTGTGTGCGTTGTATATATCTATATCGTTTCGAACACTGCCGCTTTTCGACCATGATGCTAAAATTTTAGTAAAGTGTTCCCCGCCAACGTGTGACTCCGCAAATTTAATTCAGTCTTCCCGTCTTCACATATGGCCCACGTACAGCATTCTATCCATGATTTTGGGGAAAGGCTTCAACCTTAATTTTTACAAATTCTTCAAAAATCCTCATTTTGCTCTGACAGAACAGTCAGGTGTTCAGGAAGAACCAGTACCGCCGTTGCCGAGTACACCAATGCCTCGCGAGCCACCGCCTGGTATTGCAACAAATGAGGTAATACCAGCGATCGTGCCACCTCCAATGATCCCGAGGAGGCATCATGTGTATACCGCTGTAACAAATAATGAGCCTTCGGATGCAAATGCCCCACAGGTTTCAAATTTTTTTCACTCTCCGTGAAAAGTTTTTGTGCAGTTTCTATTTTTATCTGCAGCAGTTGAGGCTGTACTGACGATTCTCATTCCTACTCGTCTCTGATGCTCTTTCTGTACTTACATTTAAGGGATAAAACACAGACTGCAAAATGACCGTAATCTTTTCGATAACCGGCCTGAACCTTACTAGATATGCTCCATACAGAGGCCTCTCCGAGAGATAACAGACGAGTCATTTTGGAGAAAAGTGCATAGAAAATCCAGTTAAAGGTTTGGAAATTCGATTGAAATAGTACAAGCAAAACCGGAAATGCAACAAACTCGCCTGAAGGTGATCGCAAAAGTAGCACTTTTTGCTAAGATAGGGACCGAAAGGGTATCGAACATCTCCTCTTCATTTCTCCGGATCCTTCGGATTGTGGCATGCTATTTACAATACCAATTCCTATTTTCCACATCTAACAAATGGAATTTGTGGATCTGGTTGTACGGTATTCGCTAAGTGGTTTGGTGTCTAACGTTGTTACCACAAACAGCGCACACTTTCAAATTTTTGCCCTCATTTTACTGGTATTTGCGGCAAAAAAGTAATTTTGATATTTTAAAATTTGAGAAGCAAAGTTTAAACGCTACATTTAGCTTTAAAGTGCTAAAATTTAATAGAGAAGTAGATATGGGTTTCTGTATTCATCGGAAATGCAATTCCCCTCAAAAAAAGGGGTGTTGTGCGATAAACTTTTTTATGGTATTAGATTAGTTGCTTATCTGTGAATGTGTGACGTTATTTCCTCTTCACGATGTCCTCGTAAGTTTTGAAATGGTTAAAATGCTGATGA